CGCAGCGGCTACACCCCGGAGACGTGGACGTGGACGCGGTGGTGGCGATGGTGATGATTAGTTGGTGATGTTGATGCTGATCCAGTCGGACACAGGTATAAGATCGAGGTCGGTTCGGGGAGGGTACCCTAATGTTTTTCATGTTCATCCTGGGAAGTGTACCCTTGGATAGTCTGTTTGTTTTGTCAGGCGGATGGTCTCACGTTATTGGGGGATGCTCTTCTGGCCTATGTCCTACTGTACTGACACTGATGAAGTTGATGATGACGATGCGATGGTGGTGATGATGCTGACGACGATGATGATTACGATTTGGATGGTGGTGATGATGTTAATACGATGGTGACAGCGGCGATGCGTATGACGATGCTAGAGGTGTTGTGTTCGTGGCGATAGCGGTTCGAATGCTTAAAGTGATGCTGACGACGATGATGGTAATGGTGACGATGATGGTGTCCGCGACGATAATGATAATGATGGTGGTGGGTATGATGATGACGATGCTGATGATGACTGTTGGCGATGACTATGGTGGTGGTGATGATGATGTTGATGACGATGGTGAAGATGATGGTGATGAAACAGTTGGTGGTGGGTGGTGGTGTTGACGATGATGAGAATGATGATGAGGATGAGGACGAGGATGAGGATAATGAATATGGCGATGATTATGATGATGATGATGATGGTGGTGATAATGATGATGCTGATGCTGATGATGATGCTGACGATGATGATGAGGAGGAGGGGGAGGGCGCGGCCGGGGGGATGTGGATGAGGAGGGGTGGCGGGGTGGTACATGAGGTACATGCGGAGGGGCTGCAGCTGTCGGAGTGGGTGGGACGGGCGGCTGCGACCCGCTGCGCGAGGCGGTGGTAGAAGCAACCAAGGTGGTTTGTCGATCGAGCCAGTCGCGGGAACAACCCTGACGGCGGCAGTAGCCTTGGGGCAACGTCATGGGGCGGAATGAGCTCAGGGGGGTGGGCGCCCCTCCAGGACACCTCAAAGGCAACGTTCGGCTTGGCATCGCTCGGACGTGTGCATGTTTCCTTCGGCGAGGACCATCGAGGAGCATCCTTGATCATTTGGCAAAACAACCACGCACGAAACCGAAAAAAACACAGGGAATGGACGTCCGAGCGATGGCCAGTAGGGGGGACAGGCCCAGGAGGAGATAGGCGGCTCGGGTCGTCGAGGTCCGAAGTCTTCGGATGTCGTCGTGGGCTTTCGGCGGCACCACAGCCTCGGGATGTGTTCCCGCGGCTGCGCTTCGCCGAGAGCGCTCCGGGGGTGCCCGGGTAGGCCAGAACGGCCGCCGGATGCCCGAGTCATGAGGAGGACTCCTCCTCATGACTCGCACCGCGCGGCCCGCAAGCGGCCTAGAACCATGAGAAAACCATTTTCATCATTCTTAATCTGATCCCCGACATGCCCGTGACCCTATCCAAGGAGGAGGAGGAGGAGGAGGAGGAGGAGGAGAAAGAGGAGGAGGAGGAGGAGAAAGAGGAGGAGGAGGAGGAGGCGGTTGGCACAGGCTCAGGGGTGAACGCATCGACCCCAAGTCGCCCATCGATCGCCGACAAGGGTCCAACAGCCCACCCCGCCCAGGAGCGTGCGGTTTCGCTATCGAGAGCCCGTCGCCGATCCATCGGCGATGCATCGCCGATTCCAGGTCGATGTTTCCCCCCTCTTGGAGCTGCCCCCCCCCCCTGAGCGTCTGAGGCGGGGATTTATTCATAACCACCGCCTGGGAGATCTATCTTTGGAGACCTCAGCAGGCGGTGGACATGGATACTGTGGAGGCCTTGCGACTGGTGCCGCCAAGCCTGAAGGGGGAGGGGGTGGGAAAATATAAAACCCCTCCCCGGAGGGGAAAGTGGTTTTGAAGTGGAAGCGGTCTTATTTACTCACGCCTTCAGAGGGCCGGTGGGGCTCAATGAAAACCAGGCTTCTTGGGCCTCTTGGTGGCCTCTTCGGGGCTTGCTGCGTGCCTCTCGGAGCCTTCGGGGGCCCCCTTCGGCCGTCCGGGGGGGGTCTCTTGGACCGTCTTGGGGGATGTCTTGGGCCGTCGTTTGGCCGTCTTGGGCCGTCTTGGAGCGATCTTGGGCTGTTTCGGGGAAGCCGCGGTATAAGTAAGTTCAAAGTTCGATGCGTTCAGGAGGGGTCACAACCCTGGGTCCCCCCCCCAGGACCCCCCCTTGGGGGAGGGGTCACAGAGAAGGGGCTTCCTTTCGGCTCGATTACGACGTTGTTCGATTCCCCTCTGGTTGGGACGCTAGAGGAGGGGAGATTAGGGAAAGCGGGAAACGGTGACAGCGACCGCGACGACGACGATGACGACGAAAATGGAAAAGCTCGACACGCACGCCGACAGGACCGGCAGACGGTAGATCTGAATAGATTCGCCCCCCCCCCCCCCCCAGGGCCGAAGGACATCAATGTCCAGCGCCCGCTGGTGTCCCAGGACGTCGGTTCCCCAGGCGGTGGATGTGGCAGTGCCAGGTACAGTCGGGGCGCTGAAGAAGGAACCCTTTTCGTTGGGGAGCGGCTTGGTGTTCCTTGATTGTTTCACAGCTTGCCTCAGGTTTTCCTTATGTTTTCGATGGGAAATCGAAGTTTAACTCGTGGAAAAATGGGGCCTCGTTCCTTATTTAGGGTTCATTAGGTCAACGACCCGACTGTAGTGATCCCACCCCGCCAGTCATAGTGGACAGCGCAGCGGCGGTGGCAGCAGAAGTGGCCGTGGGCAGGGGTCGCCGCGCCCGCGGTCTTTCGATGGGCTCCCCGCAGGGCGCTCCTCACCATAGCCCCCAACTACACCTCCTTCGGCTCGCAGAGATTCCAGAACGCCGATGGCAGCACAGGCGCCGCGTGAGGGGTGGTTGCTTTACAGGCCGACTGCACGCGATGTGATCGTGCTGCCCTTCACTCCACATCTCTCCTCTCTCCTCCCCACCTTCCCTCTCTTTGTGCCCTCTCCGCTTCTTCTCCCTCATCTCTTCCCTTCGCCATCCTCGTCCTCATCCCTGCTCCCGTCTCATCCATTATCTCCCAACAGGAGGCGGAGGGGACGAAGTCGGGACGAGAAGCACCGTCTCGGGTATGAGAATGACCAGGAGGACTCGCGCAAACCAGTTCCTCTTGGTCGGGCAAGAATTGACGCGTCTTACAATATGGTCTTTGTTGCCGCGCCAGTGTCTCACACTTACACATTCTAGTGAGCATTATTGCCTTGAGCGCCATCGCTTCGACTCACCCTTGAACCGCCTGGGAGACCAACGAAAGCTGAAGGTTGGGGCGACCATTCATAGGATAATGTTGTTCAGACAACTCGGTGGAGGCCGGCAAAGCATCATCAAAGTGCCTGGCCATGATTTCCCCGGGGCCAGGATTGGCGCACATGCCGCTTTGGAGTCGTTCGGAGTGGCGATGGCGACATTCCATCGCAAGCGTGGGTTTTCTTTTCTAGTTCTTGCGGCCAGCCAGGCTGGTGCTCAGCCGATAGGACAGCCACGGACGGCAGCAGAAGATGTCAGGCCCTCGCGGAATTTTTGGCCTGCCCATATGAGGCTTGCATGTCATGCATCCTCTCTGGCGTGTAGGCTTTGTCATGATGCGCTCCAGTGCTCATGATTGCTTGCGCCACTTGCTGTATCATCATCCCCGGACCCACGACAGCACATGAGCAAGTAGCAGCTGTTGCAATCGGCCCTTTCAGCTTTCCTCGCAGCGGTTGCAGCTTTGGGCACATCGATTCGCGTGGTAAGGTGGAAGGCAGGGCACGGAAATGTAGAAGGCACCATAAACCGTGTGTGTATGGTGATAGCAATACGAGCAGTGTCGCTCTGCATAAACAAGCATGACATGCTAGGGGTTATGTAAGATCCTGGGCACTGTATTTTTGCCTACACTCCCCTGGGCTGCAGACAATCGGGGATCGTTTTAACGCGTTTCGCATCTGTCCCGCACCTGGCACACTCGAGCTCCAGTCGGGCCGCACGTGCTCCTTTCATCCTGCATGGTCTCGGCGTCCTTGTCAGTCGGCGCACGACCGTACACGAGCCTTCGCAGGCCAGTCCGCCCCCCCTGTTGTCCGCCCTCCGCTCATCACGAGCTGACAAATACTAGCACCAACACTCATGCGACCCCTACATTTCTCGGGACGAAATTTCGTGGGGGCCATGGGTGTGTTTTGTCGGATGGAGCTCCCCGTTCGAACGGAACCCCCGTCGTAGTCCAACATCCCGCACCCACGCTCCTCCCCCCTGTAGGTTTGAGCGCGTTTTGTCCCATCATCCGTTCACCCGTACCACGTCCTCCTCCTCCTCTTCTGCTCCTCCCTCCGTACGTAGCCGTTTTGGCTCAAGCCGCTTCAAGCCATTCTGGTTCAAGCCGTTTTGGCTCCAGGCGCTTGGTGGCCAGGCGCCAGAGGCGGGCCGCGGCCTCGTCGCCCCCTGTCCCTTGGCGGCCGCTCCTCTCGGCTCTCGCTTCTTCTCTCCCCCGCTCCGACTCCGACTCTGCATGGGACACGCACCTGAGCTCAATGGTAGAATTGCTTCTGCGCGGGGCAAATTCAACCATCTGAGGCGCGAGCTGACGTGCAAGCACTACCTTCTGGCAAGCCGCCTGAGGCTCTTCAACGGGGCCGTGACGCCCGCAGTCATGCACGGATGTAGTTCGTGGGTTCTCACTCAAGACATGTTTTTTACACTGCAGCGGACGCGACGAAAGAGGATCGGACTTATTGTTGGCGCCAGCAGGAGGCGCGCGAAGGGCCGACCCGAGAACGACGACCAGACGAATCAGCAGACTTGCAATCATTAGCAGACGGGGCTGACCAGCCTAGAGGCCGCAGCGGTGAAGAGCAGCTCCGACGACAACAACGACCAAAACCACGGGAACGACAGCATCGACAGCTCTGACGACAGCGTTATGGAATCCTGGGTCGACATCATCCGGAGAGCAACGCACGCTGCCGAAGCCCGCGCCCAGCGAGCCAGAACCGAAGATTGGCATCCGTTTACTTCAAAAGGAAGTGGCGGTGGGCTTGCCGAGTAGCGAAACAATCTACTGATCGATGGTCACGACGTGCCGCCGCGTGGGAATCTCCCATACATGATAAGCGACTTGCCCAGAGGAAACGCGGAAGGCAACGGAAGAGATGGGACCATGAGATTGTCTGCTTCTTTGTATCACAGAAGTTGGTGAACGACACAGCAACATCCGACGACACGGGGTGCCGATGGTGGTTGCAATTTGCTTGCGACAGCTGTTCGTGGCACCGATTGGAAGGGCAGTTTATTGCACATGCGACGGCTTCATAACGATCATCTTCGGCACTACGGAGTAAGGGCCCCGGCCCCCCCGCGCCGACCCTCAAGGATCCCGCTTCGGCGGAACTGCGCGTTTCCTTCCTTCCTTTCTTCCTGGCCCGTCTGACGCCGTCGGAAGCAGTCTTGGAAGCCTCTCTGGGCCGACTTGGGGCCCTCTTGGGGTGGTCCAGGGCCGTCTTGGACGCTTCCTGGGGCGTCTTAGAAGCCTCTTGGGCCGTCTCGGGCCCTCTTTGGGCCGTTTCGGGCGGCTTTTTGGGCAGTTATGAGGCCATCTCGGATGCCTCTTGGGCGCTCAGGGGGCGATTTTGGGAGCCTTTTGGGCCGTCTTGGGCCGTCGGAAGGCCGAACAGGAGCAAATACGAAAATCCTTCAAAAATCGATGGCACATCCCTGATTTTACCTCTTCGGGCCCTACTGGAGGACCTCACGGAGGCCTCTTCGGCCGTCTGGGAGGTTTCTTGGGCACTTTTTGTGCAGCCGTGGGCCGTCTTGGAGGGTTCTTGGGCGGAGTTGGACGTATCTTGGACCCTCATGGGCCGTGTTGGAGGCAATTCTGGAGGTATCTTGGAGGCCATCTTGGCCGTCTTGGAGGCAGTTTGGGGTCCATTTGGGGCCACCTTGGGTTTGAACGGCATTGACTGGCGCATTTGCGGTCCTTTCCGGGTGGCTGGCGGGACGGGCCGAAACCCCAGGGACAGTTTTTTGGGAAAAGAACCAAAACCAACACCAAAAGGATCCAGAACGCCAGGCACCCTTGTGTCAAGCACAGGGGGCGGCGGATCTATTGGCCTCAGCCCATCCCGCCACCGTGCCTTGGTTGGGAGAGCGCGGAGGATGGGGAGAGAGGGGGGTGCGAGGGGGAGGGAAGGGTGGGCGGGGGAGGAATGAACGGAACGGAGGGGGAGGGAATGCGGCGGGAAGGGGAGGGGGAGGGGGCGGGGGTGGAGGGGAGGAGGGGGTGGTGGGAGGAGGAAGGACCCAGCGGCGGCGAGGATGTTGCCGAGGACGAGGACGACGAGGAGGAGGAGGAGGAGGAGGAGGAAGAGGAGGAGGAGGAGGAGGAAGAAGAAGAGGAGGAGGAGAGGACGAGGAGGAAGAGGAGGAGGAGGAGGAGGAGGAGGAGGAGGACCCGCGGCGGAGAGGGCTGAATGAAGGAGGGGACGAGGACATGAAGGGGGAGGGAGATCGAGGATACAGGCTGTTAGACGGCATTGAAGGCAAATGAGGAGGATGAAAAGGAGGAGGAGGAGGAACAGGAGCAGGAGCAGGAGCAAGAGGAGGAGGAGGAAGAGGAGGAGGAGGAGGCGGATGAGGAAACATATGAGGCCTCTTGAGGCCCTCTTGGGGCATCCTGTGGCTTTCTGGAAACAATTTGGGTGCCTCTGGGAAGCTTTTGGGGGCCGCCTTGGACCCCTTAGGGGGCCTCTGGATGTTTCTTGGAGGTCTTTGTTGGGCCGTTTTGGGGGGAATCTTGGGGGCCTACGGGGCCGTCGTGGACCGTCGGAAGCCCACAATTGCGGGAACGCTGAAACCATAGGAGCATAATGATAATCAAGCCGTCTTGAAAGCGTCTTGGCAACATCTTGGGCTCTCCCTCTTGGGAACATCTTAGCCATCTTGGATGCCATCTTGGAACAACCTTGGCCGTCTTGGAGGCGAGCGAATCAGCTTATCCCCTCCTGGCGCGTCTTTGCGGGTCCTTCCAGGTGGTCGGCGAGTTGGGCCGAAAGCCCTTTGGAACCTTTAACAGAACCGAGCTCTAAACGTTGGCACGCCGTGCGCCCCCGTGGCAAGCCAACGGGGAGCGGCTGGTCTACTGGCCCCCACCGTGCCTGAGTTACAAGTCGCAGGCTTCTCGGGGCCCTCTTGGCCCGTTTTGGGGCGCGCGTGGCTGCGAACAGGCCATGCGGGACGTGACAGGGCACCGCGGGAGGCGAGTTGGGAAGCCCGGGAAATTAGAGAATATGGGCTTTGAGCTCATTAGTATTCAATCCCGAGGTCAGGTCTAAGGACTACAAGGGACCTGAGAGATCTCCATCTCGTGCCTCGCGGCACGGTGGCGGATTCACATCCAGGCCTCCTAGCGGGGGTCCGAGCAGATGGGCTCGGATAATCGCGCCGCATCGCCGATGCATGGGTGGTGCGGCTCGATGTGGGGCCCGAATTTCTCCGCGCTGACGGCGTCGATGCATCGCTGACGTCGCCGATGCATTGGCGATGCGGCGCGATCCTCCGACCACGTCCATTAGGACCTCCATTGGGAAGCTTCTAAAGCATCCTTCGCGGGAGCATGCTGTCCTCTGCCCGTACGTGTATTTGCGCGCCTGAGGTACGACTCCGCACTGGCCTGGGTTGGTGCATGTTGCTGCGGTCATGGATGTGCAAGTAGCGTCTGAGGTCTGCAATTTGCTTGTAGCTTTCATTGCGCTCTCAGGTATCGGTGATCTCGGCGTTCTTTACGCGAATCGTAAGCCACTTAGTCGAGACTTGCACGGAGAGTGGTTGAAGGAGTATGCTGGACAAGCAGCAGTCCACACATGTGAGTGCGAGGCGCAAGAGTACATGTATTATGTTATGGGGCAGAGCAATGACGTACTTGCCAAAATATGTGGCTAGATGGAAACGAGGGTTACTGGAGTATAGTTTCATGCGGTCTGGTCGTCTTCGCCAGCCTTGTACTCCTATGTGCCAGAGAGAATGTTCAAGCAGTCAGTGTCTGCATCAGCTCTCCGTTTGCACGATCGTGCGTCACGCTGCAAGGCGGTGGCGATGCCGATGTTCTCCGTAACGTATTTCTTCGCAAATTGGGTGCGCATGGGAGGAATGGGGGGATATGATGCGGCACCTCTCTGTTTCGGACCTGCCCTGTTTACGCCGCTGTGACCATGACAAGCCCTGAATGATCGACGCTCGGTCAGCTGCATCCGATCAGCACCTCTGTACAACCCTTCTGCCCTCCGCTGCCATCCAGTCTTGCTTCGTGTGTTCAGATTTTTCCTCGAGAAGCTGAAGCCATCCCCCGACCCCCAGATTAGGAGATGTGCGGCTTCAAATTTTGAACATGCTCTTTGCCGAGTTCCGTCTTGCTGCCTGCGTGCAATTGGTTCTTGCTTGTCCTCCTCTTTCTTTGCGTCTGTTCTTGGGGGCCTCGCGGAGGCCTCTGGGGCGGCCTCTTGGAAGCCTTTTCACAGTTCCTAGGTGTGTTGGGGCCTTCTGAGGGTTTGTTGGTGGTCTCTTGGAGGCATCTTGGGGGCATGTTCTGCATTTTGGGGGCCATCTTGTGGGGGAGGGCTCTCTGAACCTCGTCTAGTTCCCACTCTTGGGCCTCTCCAGCCCGTCCTCTACCCTCTTGAGGGCCGTTCGGCCGTCTTGGGGGCCTCTTGGGTACGTAGTCTTGGGGTCCTCTACTGCTATCTCTGGGCCCTCTTGGGGGCCTCTTCTTGGGCCAATCTGGGGGGCTTTCAGGCTGTCTCGGGGTTGCCCCGGAATGGCGAGAGTGCGAACATCATTCAAACACCGACGGAACATTATGCCTTTTGACATCTCAAGACCATCTCGTGGGTCCTCTTGGCCAGGCCTCCAGGGCCGTCAGGCCATCTTGGCTGTCCTGGAGGCCCCTCTGGCGCGTCGGAGGCTTTGTTGACCCATCTCAAGAGGGCAGCTTTTGCGTCATGGGGGCCGCTGTCGGTGGATCTGGAGGTTCCGAGGGCCACTTCCTGCCTCCTCCTGTATACGCTTCCTCCGCCTCCTCTTTTCAACGCGGGTAATCCGCAGAAGCAAAGCGAGAGACAATCGACGTATACGTAGGCGATATGGCCTCAGTACGGCTGCGCGCAAACGCAGGGAAACATAGGGGCGTGTAGTATGGGATGATTGAAGCCGTCCCGCTGTGGCGCTGAGTCCTCCCTATTATCCTCCTCCTCCTCCTCCTTCTCTTCCTCCCTCCCTCCCTCCCTCCCTCCCTCCCTCCTTCCCCTCCAAGCTGCCGTCCCGGTTCGAGGATTTGGGCGCAGTGCCCGCGGTTCCAGATACCGCCGCGCGCTGCGAGCCTCGCCCGCGGACAGCCGCCATACGCGCCGGCCGCCGTGCCCGCCTGGCGCGCTGCGAGCCAGCCGTGCCGCGAGCGAGCTCTCGCGAGGGTGACACGCCATACAGACACCGACGCGGACGCACCGACCCAGCCTGGCACCGACACGCCCGCTGGCTGCGCTGACCAGCGAGGACGTTTCGCCGCGTCGGTCGTGCATCGCGCTGACAGAGCAACGCCGTGTGCAGGACGCCACCGACAGTTTCGGCGCGCGCGACAGCACCGGCATCATGTACGGAGTGGACGGAGGCAAGTGCGCGGGCCCCTCTGGCGGACAGGCAGGCGGCGCCGGAGGTCACAAGCGTGCCTCGGGCATGGGCGGTGGAGCGACGCCGCCATGGCATGTACCGCCACCGGGGCCAGGATGGTGGTGCCCCGCTTGCGGCGAGCTCAACTCGCCAGCCGACCTCTTGTGCCGGACGTGCTACCCGATGCCATCGCATGGGCCCAGGCATGGAGCTGGCAGCGCAGGCCATGGTGACGGTCAGCCTCCACGCCATAGGCGAACGGAGGACGACGGCCACCACGCCATAGGCGAACGGTGGACGACACGAGCCACGGCCGTCTGCGCTCTGGCTTTCGCCGACGTCGCCGCCGACAGTCCAGTGGCAGCGCGACGCGGCCGAGGTCGGCCTGTCGAGTACGATTTGAGGACGAGCCAGAGCCAGAGTCAGCAGGAGGACGGAGGCGAGGAGAAGCTACAGACGACTCCGAGGCCGACGACGAGGTCCGCAGCCCAGCGCTGGGCATCTTGCCAGCGCTGCCGCAGGACGCTCATGCACATGCGTCCTGGGTGGGCCCGCCCAGGGACGAGCGCGAGCTGGCTGCGCATCGGCGTTCGCTCCGCCAGATGGCAGCAGCCACAGGCAACAGGCTGCTCGCCGCTCGCAACCTTGGCATGTCCGACGAGCAGAGGAGGCCACAGGAGGAAGAGTATGCAGTGCAGCTCTGCATGGCACTGATGGCACGCCCGCCTGGCGTCATACGTGATCGACAACGGTCCTTCGTACAGCGAGCTCAGCGCAAGCTAGAGAAGGCGCAGACCGAGGCGAAGCAGGCCAATAATATCATGGAGGAGAAGGAGGCCAAAGTACAGCAGCGGGAGGCGGCCCTCAGCAAGGCCAAGGTGCTGCTGGATCAACTCGAGGAGCTCGTGTCGTCAGTGGGCCGCGTTATGGGCGACGGCGCCGAGGAGGAGGAGCTCGTGCCGCCTGCGGGGCCGAAGCCGCCTGCTGGATCACCGGCCCCTGGCACCCCGCCGCGCATGGCCCCGCCCGTGGAGACCGTCGCGGAGTTGCAGGCTGGGCAGGCGCAGTTCGCGCGACAACTGGTCGACCTCACGCAGCTGCTGTCGACGATGCAGAGCCAGATGGCCGCCGCAAGCGCAGAGACTGCGGTGGCCCCCGCCGCGCATGGGCGCGCTGCATTCGCGGGCCAGCCGCAAATGTTCGGGTCCACGGGGCGCGCTGCCCAGGCGACTGGAGCTGCAGCGGCGCCCGTGACACCCGCAGCCCCCGAGCAGGCGCCCGCGGCCCCTGCGGCGGCCGAGCCCGGCGACGCCGCGGCGCCGCCGCGGGCGGGGGCCGGCCGCGCCGCCACGCCGCTTGCGGCCGCGGTTGCCGCCGCCGCAACGCCCGAGGCGGCCGGCGACGGACAGGCGGGGTCGCCGGCGGCAGGCGGAGGTAGGCCGACGCGCCCGACGCCTGCGGAGCTGAAGGCCCGCGCGGCGGCCGCTCGACAGGCCAAGCGCGAGGCTGACCGAGCCCGCAGGGCAGCAGGGCTTGTGGGGCGCCATTGCGCGGCAAGACACCGCAAGTCACTGTGGGCGCGGAGCAGCGCCGCATGCGCCTGCGGGGCGCGAAGAGATCGCAGCTGGAGCTGGGGGGGCGGAGGCGGCCGACGCTGCGGCACGCCGACGGCGGCGCGGCCGCGGCCGCGGCCCGCGCTGTGGCGCGGACGGCGAGATCGCGGCCGTCGGCAGCGACGGCAACTCCGATGCGTCGACGCTGGGGTGACGCGGCCTGTCGGGCAGGCCACGTGGAGTGAGATGCATGAGAAGCCCATGCCATCTCTCGGTCTGCCCAAGACAGGAGATAGGCTTGCCACGACGGCCGCGCTGCAGCATCAGATGGAGTCTGCGCTGTCAGCCGTCGTGCACCGCTGTCTGCGAGCTGGTCGGGCACCGTTGTCAGCCCTGGCAAGGTCGCGCCGCCTCTCTCATCCCGCCATCCTCGGCTCTTACCTCGTTGTTCCGTCTCCCCCCCTACTAAGTAAAAAGCTATCGGGCGCAGCTGGTTTTCAAACCACTTTTGTTCGGCGCTATGTTTATACTCTTGCACAGGGTGTCTAGAGCTCCGACCACTTGATTTCGGCGTCGTCGTCGCTCCCCCCAGCTGCCTTGTGCCCTTCATGTGTCGCTATGTGTGTCGCTGTGTGCCTTGTGCCCTTCATGTGCCGCTATATGTGTCGCTATATGTGTCTGTGTCGCTGTGTGTCGCTATGCGTCTCCATGTGTGCGTCGCGTTGTGTCGCTATGCGTCGATATGTGTGTGTGTCGATACATGTCTCTATATGTCGATATGCGTCGACATGCGTCGCTACGTGTCGCCCCCCAGCAGCCCAGCGCACCGCCCCCTCCGCCCCGACGACTTTATTTCGGCGTCGTCGTCGCTCCCCCCCCCTCTCCTTCTCCTCCGCAGCCCAGCGCGCTGCCCCCTGCGCCCCGACCATTTTATTTCGGCGTCGTGTCGATGCGTCGCTCCCCAGCACCCCAGCGCACCGCCCCCTCCGCCCGACCACTTTATTTCGGCGCCGTCGTCGCCCCCCCCCCCCCCCTCCCTTTCCTCAGCAGCCCAGCGCGTTCGCCCCCTTCGCCCCGACCACTTCATTCCGGCGTCGTCGTCGCCCCCCCCCCCCCCCCTCCTCCCCTTCTCCCAGCAGCCCAGCCAGCGCGCCGCCCCCCTCCGCCCCGACCACTTTATGTCGGCGTCGTCGTGCCCCCCCCCCTTTCCTTTTCCTCAGCAGCCCAGCGCGCTGCCCCCTCCGCCCCGACCATTTTATTTCGGCGTCGTCGCCTCCCCCCCCCTCCCCTTCTCCCCTGCAGCCCGGCGCGCCGCCCCCTTCGCCCCGACCACTTTATTTCGTCGCCGTCGTCGCCCCCTCTCCCCCTCTCCTTCTCCCCAGCGGCCCAGCCCAGCGCACCGCTCCCTCCGCCCCGACGATTTCATTTCGGCGTCGTCGTCGCCCCCCCTCCCCTCTCCCTGTCCTCGGCAGCCCAGCGCGCCGCCCCCTTCGCCCCGACCACTTTATTTCGGCGGTGCTTCGACATGCGTCGCTACGCGTCGCTCCCCAGCACCTCAGCGCTCCGCCCCGACGACTTTATTTCGGCGTCGTCGTCGCCCCCCCTTCTCCCTCTCCCCAGCAGCCCAGCGCGCTGCCCCCTCCGCCCCGACCACTTTATTTCGGCGCCGTCGTCGCCCCCCCCCCCACCCCCTCTCCCTTG